AGACTTTTCCTTCCAGCCTACACTCCCCTCCGCAATCCACCAAGTCTGAGGCCTGGTACTGTACAGTAGTACAGTAGTAGTACAGCAGGAGTCGTGGCTGCCTTAAGCTTGACCATTAGCACACAGGAGCAACCCACCCCAAAAAAAAACCCACCCCCAAAAAACAACGCCGGTCGGTTTTTTGGTCTCGGCTTGAATAAGCAAAAAAACGCATTAAAGAGGCCCACGTTATTAAAAGGGCCGCCACATTACTCGCGCCTGTGAGGCGCGAATCCGTAAGGCCAGCCACATATCGTGCGCCAGTGTGTGCTATCGGTGGATGTCTCGGAGATTTCCGCGAGGTGGACCATCTTCGTCATCGTGTTACGTGTTGACCACCCAAAACTTCTGTCGTAGCGTCTCGAGGTAGTGCTCGACCATCTCTCTGATCTGCTCGGGTTTCCCTTGATCCTGTGCTCGATGATGTTGATCGCCGCGATGTAGAGGAGCCTCTTGTAGACCTGCAAGAGTTGTACTGTGTCCAGGGGGAAGCCGCGGCGTGTCAGCATCTGTGCTCGCGATACTCGGCAAACGTGTTCACAAGACCGTTGCAACATCGTACCATCGGGTCCATTGCAGGTCATCGTAGTCCCTGTCGCCTCGATGACAGAGCGGAATATTTCGACTGTCTGATTCATTGGTTGGCAATCATCGCCTGGGAACAGAGGAGAGTCGTCGGGATAACCCAGTGACCGCATCCGGTGGAGATGTCGTTGTGATGCATGGAAAGGACATAGAGCAGGAGAGCGATGACAGCTGCACGGGTGTGATCGTGTAACACAGAGTCCCACGATGTCCATCTTCGTGCGTGGCAAGTGATGAAGGCCGTACGGCCGGAATGCGTAATCTCTGTCCATGCCTGGTTCAACATCACGGACGCCGCCTCGATTCCCCGGAGCAGCCGCCAGCAACATATGATTACCATGTCGATTCGGTGGCACAATCGTTGTGCCCAGCGCAGGCATCTGCCCTGGGAACTCGAAGTCCATGTGGGAGATCTTGGCGATGTCCTCGACGTAGAAGGAATCCTTGAGCTTCGAGGGACCTCGGCCTCGTTCAACGGCTCGTTCTGCTTGGGACATTCGGAGTATAACCTTGGGGGAACTTGGGTATGTGTCTGTGCTACGTGTTCTTGTCGGGCCTGACTAAAGAGCAGTTTCGAGGTCTTATATCCGCCGGCCCGAAGACTCGCCGCGACTGCGTCGACCGACCTCACAGTCAACGGTTAGGGTCGAGGTCCCATGCATTTGTGATCTGAAGCCACAACTTCCACCGCGAGTCGCGGGATTTCATCGTGGTAGCTGCGTATGTGTTCTTACGCAGCTCGTTGAGGCTCTCATCGCGGAACTCTGGTCTCGCGGCCATTAATGCCTTAGACAAGGAACCTCGCGCAGAGGGTGCTGAGGTAGGCACGTCCCGGCGGGCCACTGGCACCACCGCCCGGGAAATTGGTCGTCTGCCCAGAGCTGACAGGATCTTATCCAGGTCGAGACGGGTCGGGATATCTCGACCAGGGTCGTCTCGGGTATGTTTCTCAGTGCATCTACCGAGAGTATGTCTCGGGATGCCAGACTCGGGGCGAATTCTACCCTAAGAAAAGCTAAAAGGTCCGCGAAGGTCATCGGGGTGACTGCCCGTTACTCGAGCCTGTCGCTGTCGGGTAGGGAAAAGTGGTGTACTGACCGTACACTGAGTGCGATAACGGCGCAGGGGGTCACTTTAATTTCCATTCGGGATTACGTGTCGAACAATGTCGGAACTCGAGGGCCTAACTGCGTTCACTACGGGCTCCTGAAAAACTGCTCTAGCCACATCACCGCCTTCATCACGAAGTTGTTGAAGAGCAAGAGGACGTCCGAGTAGTCGTTCGACTTGGGTCATAAGCAGGTGCAATTGTTCTCGGAGTCGTCCGTTGTCTGCTCGTAGTTCAGCGATCTGCCCTAGCATCGTAGCTCGGGCTGTTGCCTCGTTGCGAGCTGCTGCCATGAAGACTTCAATGGGCACGTAGCTCTCGAAGATATGTGCAAACTCGGTGATTCTCCGTCGTCGTTCTGTGCGTACCCCAGTTCGGATCGCGTCGATGCGAAGTCGTAGTGCGTTGATCTGGTAAGTCAGGCCGTTGACGATCGCTTCGAGGTTCCGCAAGGCAGCGAGGTCGATGTCGTGGAGGTTCGGTTTATTACTAAGTTCCAAAAACTGGGAGCCGGGGCAGTGGGCATGTAGAAGGGGCATGACAAAGCTTCCGTCGCGTCTTACCGACACGCCTTACCGGCTGGCGGACCCTGGCTCAGAATCGGTCTTCTTTTGCTCGTGAGAAACAGGTCAAGCTGCGTCTGCGGCCTATGCCAGTGATGTTAACGTCCCTGTACACTCGATTGACGAGTCGGGAACAAAACACTCGTCTCTGCATCGCCTAGGCGGAAAGAGATCGTGTCAGTGTAGGCGAATCTCGGGGCGTCAATGATCGCATCCCACCCTTGCATCGCCTAGGCGGAAAAGGGGAGGCAGGCGCCACGGTTCGAACGATAAATCGCCGGACTTTCACCGAGAAATCCGGTCCAGCCAACAACCAGCGCCATCGCTGGAAAGTCGCTGGCGGAATGCCCAGCCGTCGGGCTCAGTGGGAGTTCGCTGGAGTCGAATACTATCCAGTCGTTGTCAGCCACCTTACAAGGCGGCCTGGCGCTCCCGTCGGCGTTGTCGGAGGAGCTCAAAATCACGTTCGAGAAGCTGTAGTCGCCCTGGATGTACTGGATCGCGCGTAGCTGGATGTAACACAGCGACATAAAGCGCATGAAGTCGTTTTGCTTCATGATCACGGTGGCGTCGGGGTCGTACTGGTACACACCAAAGTGATAATATGGCGGACCCTTGCGGGTCGACCCGACACCGTACGCCTCGAAGTGCTCCGTCGTGTTGAAAGTCTCGTCCTGGTATTTGTATGGATGATTCGCGGTGGGAAGGAGATCCGGTCGATACCTGTTCTGGCGTTTGATCGAGTAGTTACGGTTGAGGAATTTCTGCATGTTCTCGAGGGTCCACGCGATCTCCTCGAAGTAGCCCAGGAGCTGGTATTTCACAGCCTGGTCCCGAATCGCCGCTTGCAGTGGTGCTCGGAAGTTGTCGGTCCCCAGATCGGCGCGATATTCGGCCATGATCTGTTTGAGCCTCCCGAAGAGCATATCGTCGTCGGCTTTCTCCCATTCCATCAGGAACAGGTGATAGTCGGTGCTGTTCTTCGAGATGCGCTGGCCGCCGTGGACCTCGACATCGATGTTGACCTCGCCGGCTTCGGACATGATGAGCGCTTTCTGGGCCGGTACGAGTTTCTTCGAGTTACGTGCGCTGGCATTCGTGCGATCAGCGTGAGGTCTGTACGGAGTCAAGCATCTTCGGGCAGGTGTAGCGACCATGCTGCTCTCGGATCGGGTAGTCTGTCGAGATCTGGCGCAGCCAGTGGTGGTTGTGAATGACGGAGGTACAATCGACATTTCGGCAGATAAAGTGCTGGCCCAAGGAATCGGTGACCTTGAAGAGGCAGTTGGTGAGGGGTGTGTCGTTGAGGGCCATGTCCCAGAAGGCATAGCCGTAGGACACCTGCCACTGCTCGAAGGCTATCATCACTCGAGCTCGCCGGTCTGTGTCGAGCTGGTCCATATCGGCGACGAATCGAGCCGTCAGAGTCAAAATGCGGGCTCGGACCTCTCGGCGAGTACCAGCACTGGACTCGTCGGGTCTTTCTCGACGAATTTCGTCGCACATCGCCTTCCAAGAGGAGTTCTGGTCGCGAACTTGATCCGAGAGTTGTCGGCGTCTGTAGGTGATAACCTTGGAGCACAACGAGTACCACTCGTGTACAGGGATGGTCGTGACGACCTGACCCTTTCGTCGGAAGACCGGCCTCCGTGTCCATCGCGACTTCTCATCGTCCCACACTGAGCCGAAGTAAAAGGCGGCGTAGGATCCCGCCGTCTTGTCGACGGCAACATGCCACTGTCCCGGTGTGTGTGGTCGTAGTCGTCGTCGAAGTCAGCGACGTCTGCCCGATCGAAGTTGTTGTAGCGCTGGCCTATGACTGTACCTCGGGCTCCTGGCTTCGCTGGTTTCAGTGAGGAGCACTCGCTGTACCAAATGAAGTCTTCCGAGTGGCAAGTGGCACAGGCGTAGCAACACCTATAGTGTACATTGCGCCACAATCGTCGAGCTCGGCTGGGTTGAGGCAAAGGAGGAAGTGCGCCGGAAAGAGCTTGCCGCAAAAGGTACAGTCGAAGGACTTCTCGTGTCTGGGGTCGTCGTGCTTCGCGGAGAGAAAGGCGAGGTACTCGCGAAGTCTTTTGTTGCCATCTTCGTGGCCCTTCTCGATGACCTCGGCCTCGTGGCTCTGAACCGGGTTACCCTCCGCATCGACTGCTTCGCCAGCCAGGCGTCGGCGCCAAATCTCGAAGAGCTGTTCGTTTTCGGCACGAGAGAACTGTTGCCGCAATCGCGCCAGGCCCATTTGTTCCTGGGCTCGGCGAAAAGCGAGGACCTCGACGGCTACCTGAGCAGTCTCCTCGTCGTACATGCGGCGTCGTTGCTTGGCAAGCCGGCCTTCGATCGAGGAAGGGTCGACACCTCCCGTGAGTTCCTCCAAGGCTCGGGCTGCCGGCAACACCGCACCTGACGACTGAGATGTCTCGGTGAATTGTTCGATAGGATCATTTTCACCGATCGGCTGGGTAGCCGTGTGCTGCTCGATCTTGTCGTGTCCAAGTTCGGGGGCACGTCGAGGAGCCATGATGAAGTTCGGGGGAAAGGAGAGGGGGCTTGCTAGTACTCTACGATGCAAGAACGTAGTAAACACTCGAGCACTATCGAAGCCACACAGTCTCCAAGGAGAAAGTAGGCCCCCGGCCGCTACGAAACATGCGGAGCCTAAGAAGACTACAGGAGGTCATCTCTTTATCTCGGTGCAAAGGCAAAGGCCTTCCTCGACGGGTAAGTTTCGAAAAGACTCTATGAGGGCGTTTCGCCGGGAACTGCGGAAAGAAAACCACGCATCGCCTAGGCGGAAGTGGTTCACATACAAAGAGGTCCCAACGGGCTCCGTATCACTCGGTGACGCGCATCGCCTGGGCGGAAGCGTCCCGTGCCGGTGAACGGAGTTCCCAAAAGATGCATCGCGGACTCAGGTCGAATGCTCGGGGAACTCGACGTCACATCGAAGCCGATCGGGTTGTCCTTGCTCAGTGTCGCCGCCTGAGACCATAGCTCGGGGGTTCGGCCGCAAAGTGAGGGGCCGTGTCGGGGTGTCCCGCGAAGTAGGTCCTCATGTTCGGCGGCAGCATCGCCCAAGCACAGTCGACGATAGCATCCGCGATGAGCCGCAAAAATGTTGAAATCCACGAGATGTAGCTGTAGTTAAGTGACAATCGATGAACGTCGATGGAAAACAAGCACCAACCCCGAAGGCGATTGAGCCTTTCTTCGACGCTTGTGTGGTGAAGTTCCGACAAACTCGCAGTCATCGTGTGCCAAACCGTCGAGTAAACGAGGGTCGATTGTGGGTCGTGGAAGTTGTTGGGGACCCCAAGCAAGAGGACCCTCTCTTCGATGGTGCGATCTCGTTCGTGTTAAACCGGAAAGTCGAGGAAGCGGCCGAAGCGTATCAAAGTCGAACGGATCGTCGGCGTGTTCAGTACCTGGTCGAGGTAGAGCACGCCGTCGTAGGAAATCTCCCAAGGGGCATCCCGGCAAAGGCCGCGTACGGATGGTTCCCCGGTGGTAGCATCGACACGTTGTTTGCGCCCAGCCGCACCATCGGTGCCAAAGCCATGGAGAGCACCGGGAAGCCGGTGAATCGGCGACCCGTAATGAAGCCGAATTGCGGCATCTCATTCACCGGTGGTTCTCGGCGAATTTCGTCGAGAGCCGTGGGCCCCTTGTTCCGGAACTGCTCAGCGGGCCAGGCCAACCGGAACCCATCGATGTTGAAGGGCTCGTTGAGCACCGGTGTCATCGGGGATGTTGTCGTGGGTGGTCTCGACGAGATGGTTGCCGGTATCGATGAGGTCACCGAAGCCGTCATCGGTTGTGCCATCGCAACTCTAGGGGGAACAGCAACCCTAGCAGGGGGGATCTCGGGATTAAGAAAAACCTCCGGTGAAACCGTCACCGGAAGGGTTGCCGACCGGGTCGAGGTTGAGCGTGATCGGGGGCTGCTTGGGCATGGCTTTGACCTGGACCGTGGTAGTCTGGGGAGGAACCCGCCTCGCGGACTCGGGGATGTTCTGGTTGATCACTTCGTCGACTTCTGCCCACGGGTCGAATGGTTCTTGTCGTGCTCGTCGAGATTCTTGCACTTCAGTCTCGACGGCATTCCACAAATCATCATCGTCGGGCACTCTGTGGTGAGTTGTCGTCGTAGTCGACTCAGGGTTGTTGTCATCGACCTCGACCATCATCGGCGTGGTGTGTGGGCTGTCTAGCCACCGTTGAGTCGGTGACTGGCCCCGAACGATGGGAGCAGATGTCGGTGTCTCTCGACCGCGGTCCCCCACATCGCCTGGGCGGGAAGAGGAGCCGGGTGCACCATATCGGGGAGCAGAGGAACCATCAGATTCCGTTTCCATACTGGGGCCATCGAAGAAAGGTCGTGTCGACGGTGCTGCCGTTCTTGTCGGAGGTGTCGCGGATCTGGCAGAGGGGAAAGAAGACCTAGTCGGCGTAGTAGATCGTCTGTTGGTCCAAGAGTATCCGGGTCTCGACGGAACCCGAGTCTCGGCCATGCGAGGAGAGGTGCCACGATCGCGGCCTGTCGGAGATCGATCTCGAAGTGCACCACGTCGAGCTCTGTCGGCTTCCCACACTTCGAGCGAGGTCGGAGTGGGCAAAACTCTGGTACTCGTAGTAGGTGGTCCAGCTCGTACCGAAGTGCCACTTCCGAATCGTGCTTGATCGTGGTTCGAAACATACGACGAGCCGCCTCGCGATTGATCTGACGAATGGTACCCCCGTCTGCAGGGTCATATAGGAAAGGCGCCATATCTCGTCGTAGGCCCTGTTGAGTTTGGATCGCGAGTGCCACGGCATTGTCGAAGGTATCCCCGTGCTGATTCCAGCAACGGTCTCCAAAGCCGCAAATGCCCTGAAACCATTTATGGCACAGGAGATCGGGAACCACCCAGCGTTCGGCGATACAGTCCGGGTGTAGATTGGGACAGTTCGAAAGCCGGTCGCAGTTTCTACCATTGGCGATCCTATCACAGACATTGCGATTAATCCTCGGGCCAGGCACCTGCAAGACATTTGAATCTTGTACCTTCTCGGGGAACTGCTCGAGAAGACCACGTGGAACATCGACTCCCTCGGGAATTCTCGTCGCGTCACCTTCGCACAAGAAAGCGAAGAAGGAAGGCGATCGATGAAAGGACATGATCGCAGAGAGTCGAAGGATCAGAGCAGTAACCCCGAAAGGAGAAGAACATTTCTCAAGTGTCTTTAGCCAAAACGGCAACGGATATGTATGCAGTCGAATTCATTCGGATTCTGCAAATCCGCAACAATCCGATTTGCGTTCGGTGGAAGCAAGGAGTTGTCATTTCGCACACGAGTGTGCTGCACTATAAAGCATGACATTGAATAACATAAGATAGTATTATCAGACAACGAAACATCATATGCTGCGCATTAATATGCTATAAGGTCTGATTGTATAATTCTACTTTTTATTTTTTAATGTACATTGGTTGTCTATTCATATAGCATATAAGTTTTGCATAATCCTGATATAGTGTTCATATAAGCATATAGCAATACGAGTCTTTTCATAACATTTGATTGAGTTGTAACATATTTCGCAGTATTAACAAAGCTGGAATTTACTATTGATGCAAGAGTTTGCACAGTCTCAGTATACATATCATAATGAATTAACATCAATATAGGCTAGAATAACAATTAATGCAACATCTAGATCATAGACCTCATCCGATCTGATCTAAGTCATGTCAACAGGGAATGTTGCTGCCACCTGTATATTGCTTCGAAGCCCACTTACTTGTAAGTAAAGACTTGGGCCTCCAAGCCCCCCCCCCCTCCCCCTTGCACCCACACCCCGCGAGCTCTCCGCAGCCCACACCCCTCTGCACCCCACCCACCCCCCGCAGGCCCAAAAACAAATGGCCAAAAATACCACCCATTAAACAAAGGCAATCGAGTTAGATTTAGATTAGTATAGGTGCGTAAGACTGTCGCCAGCTCGTCATGGTTCACCTACCCATTTGCCCCCTGAGTTACACTGGATTCATCCATCTCTCACGAGTATCTGTCTTAATGCTCCAGACAAACAGAACGGGCGGACGGACAAGCGCCTGCCTGCCTGCCTGCCATCTCTCTGTCCGTGTCCTTTCCTTGTCTGTGTCTGTGTCTTGCTGTCTCTGTCGAGGTCTGTCCGTCAAAGAAGACAAACAGACACATAGAAACAGACGGATTGACAAACAGGAGGGTAGACGGACGCAGTGACACATAGAATCAGATAGACAAACGAATGGAGGCGATCCCACTGAGACGGACAAACACAGATAGACAGCCAGTGAGAAACCTGGAAGACTGAATCCTCTCTGCAGCCTGTCCACCAGTTGGCTTGCGCATGTGACGTCTTCACACGCCCATGAATGCGAGCGATGTCAATGTCAGTTCAACAGACAACCCCACTGGAGCCCCCCATGCTAAGCAAAAGAAGCGTTCCATTGGTCCCAGATGCATGCCGCCAAACAGAAAAGCGCCGTAGACAGGCGACAGGAGCTTCAAGGTAAACTCAACCTCAAAGCCTTGCAAGAGAGCAAGAGATAAGTACCAAACCATCAAAGAGTAGTAGCAAGCAGAGTCTGAATCATAAACGAAATGAGGCAGGGCCAGCTGAGTGCAAGCAGCTCATCGGTGCGAAACATGATAATCGGAATTGCGAAGCGATGTCCTCGGCAGACGTGCCGGATCTACGAACGCTGTGGCATGGCACGAAACACATCATGGCTACAAGCAGTCGCTGTGAACAAGTTATGCCATTCCACTGTAGATGCCCTCTGCACCTTCCCAACATCTTGCCGCCTTGCTGAAGCACAACCGAACCCTCCTGACGATGGTAATCTTATGTTCAGAAGACATCCTTCAGAGTTGGCTTTCAAAATAACTGAGAGCTACGTGCCCAGTCTCCTACAGGAAACAACAGCTGAAGGTTGACCTTTGTTATATAGGGGTCATACTGACGCAAAATCTTCGAGCCTGCCCACGGTACTCTCTGCGACGTAGCAAAGCTACTTCCGTTCTCCCACATGAAACGCCCGGGCTCCGAAATTGCCGGAGTCCAACTGAAAGAGTCTGCAATCATTGTCGGGGCGGATGGAATGATGCCTGGTGCAAAACAACATAATTTCAAGATTCTCTCTGAGGCATGATGTCGCTGCCGATGGAAAGTTTTCACACCATAAGTACACCACTGCAGGCCGCAAATAATTGAAGTTGGCTTCCAGCGTGCACACACACATGAAGAAAGACAAGAGGAGCCAAGCAGAGAAAAGGGTAGAAACCCTCAGCATTCTCTTTTGCCTTTAATTCAAAACAGCACTACAGTAAACTGCCTGGGCAAGGGATTGAACTGAATAAACAGCAGCTTCCGAAACGTCCTAACAGCCGTGTGAGATTCTTGGGGCTCGTATGCTGCAGCACAGCGGAGTGTGTCAAGAGCTCAGCACTTTTCGGCCAAGCTGCCGATGTTTGTTCCCAACGTCTGCATGAAAATGATGCCAACCTTGGTGGCGCTCTGTACAAGCCAGGTTGCTGGTTCGACCCTAAAGCTAGCCAAGTTGCATAGCTCAGGCCCAGCAGCTCATTGAATGGCGATAGCCTCAGGAAGACCCAAGATTTTACAGCTGTTGAGAAGGTTGCCATAGGTTGCCTATACTGTACTCGCCTACGTTGGCAAAGGTAGGCTGAACAGGTAGTGAGGGCCTAGCAGACGAGACAAGAACAACAATGCTCACGCGCCCAGAACGTGCTGCATCCTTCGCTGGTGCAGGCAAATCAGCTGTCCCTTGGTGACGTCGTTGTTTCCGCCGAGCTTGATCATGATCTCAGGAGGTACGGGCTCGCCGGGGAACATGGTGGGGAAAGCACGAAGAGTCGCAAAGAACAGCCAAGGGGCCAGGAGACCGATGGGCACGAGGAAAACTGAGGCAACTGGAACGAACGGCATCTTGAAGACACCACCGCCTTCGAGTACTGCTGGTGCCGTCTGCTGCTGCACGGAGAGTAGTCAGAACAGGAGAGTCTAAGGCCGCGGCATTCGACACAGTAGCCGTCCACACTCCTGTAGTAGCCATCCTGGATTATTGATGTAATGCAATCAGGTGATAGCTTTTGGGTCCTTGGTGCAGCTTAAATCCTGTCGGTGCAGCTAGCATGTCAACCTACTTGCTGAAGAGAGTCCTAAAGCTGTGCCGTTGAAAAGTTCTCATCATGGAAAGGTCTATGTCCGAGCATGAACAGATTGGAGAGCACGAACATTCTCTTCAAGATTCCGGGCCGAATATGCTGCTATGTTCAAGAACCTCCTGATGCCATAGAACTCACGGACGATGGAGTCTAGATCTAGATTCAACTCTACACGCTTCTTGGAAGCACTCATTCAAATCTCAGGTGCGGCTGAAAGTTTTCCCTGCCGCGCCTCGCACAGCCCACACGCAAGACCATGTGCCTGGCAAAGGCGGAAGAATTCGGGTGACTTCGTTCTCAAAGCCAATACCATCCTTCATACCGATAGAAGTCAAGCTGCGAGCGCCCGGCTCCCGCCGAAGGATATTAACACTTGTTCTTGAACTTGAGGGATCCCTTTACGGCTCTTGGAGGGGATGAAAGGCTTGAAGCTCTTGCGCCTGGACCAACTTACTGTACGGCTATGGGAACAATGGTCCACTGTCGCGATTGAAGCTTGGACTGGTAGTCGGATAGTCTCCCCCAGTGCTATTGAAAGATCCGCGGAGCCCCATCAGCCTCACCCAACTTGGGACCATGACCCCACAATAGGCGATATAAATGTGGGGAACTCCCGATCAAAGCTTGATCCAAACCAAGAAACGTTCGGCGCACAAAGGCCCACTGCGTTGCCGGGACAAATGACGCTGTCCTGGAGTGAGGTGAACATCTAGCTTCAGACATGTAGCAGCATGCTTGCAAAGGGATTGATAGCTAACGCAAGCAACACCTTTTGAGCGACCGATTGGCCTTGTTGGACATTAGCCTCGAAGGATTTGTACACATTTGTTCAGAACATGCTTCTGACAGGCTGAAACTTGCACATGTCTGGCTCTTTGTGGGGGGAACCGCCGGATATTGTCAGAACCGGTCCCAGCCTTGCATTTGTAGACTTGCAGCGGCTTCTCGAAAGAGGTGTAGTACCTTTCGAAGTTCTATGTCAACTCCGGCGTGACTTGCAAGACTGCATTTGGGCTGCATTTCCAGACGACAGAAGGCCCATCGCCCCGTCTAAGCCCCCAACCAAGACAGTCCAGTAGGCGACAGGGTCGCGAAACAAATGCTGATTCGAGAGCCCAAATGCCTGAACCCCTTCCAGTTGCGCCTCACGATGAAGAAGAACAAAGTTTAAAGATGTTTTCCAAGTTTCTATGAACTGATTATTCGGTGCTTGTGGCCGTGCACCTGCTTTCAATAGCGGACGACTGAAGACTGAAGACATCTTCAAATTTTGACCGAGCGACCCTGGCTTTGGCCGCGGATAGTTCAACGACGCATTCTCCATGGAACTCGTGCAAGGCAGGTCCTTGGATTGTAACCGGCGAGCTGGTTGGCCCTAAACTATATATAGTATAATGCTAGAATGCCGTATGATATAGCAGAACATAAACTTGAAGACATTATAATGTATCATGATACAAGATCATTCAACAGAACATAGAATATAAACGAATACCAACACAGAATATTGAAATTAGCCCATTCAAATACCCAACAGCATTGCTTTAAGCGACCACGACGGCAATTCCAAAACCAAGCAACCATAACGCGTACCACTTCCAAGAGCCATACGGTCACCATGATAGGTCAGCTTCCAAGAAACGGCCCACCACGATGGCAAGTACGCCTCCAAGATCCAGGAGGTCATAACGGTAGGTAGCCACGACGTACACTCATAAGGCAGGTGACCAGACGCTCATATAAATCCATGAACCATGAGGCCATGAAGCTAGGTAAGCCTTCCAGGACCAGTCCACCACGAGTACGGGCAAACTCTATGTTAAGAAAACTACGTTGCTGTTCCAGGGCCTGGGAACTTTCTTAACAGGACAGGTCGAATAAGAAATATAGTTCCCTCCCAAGAGTCTGGTGTACATGGTCTTAATAGAGTCCCATTTCTTGTTTAAAAAGATTTCTTAA